AGTCAATCTCCACCTTTATTCCATCAGACCATTCTCAGCACACTAAGAGGCCCTGAGTGTATTGTCTGAATCTCAGAGAAGATGACTTATGACCCACAGAACTACCGCAAATGCTATGTTTCCTCACGATCAGTTAGACATTACAGACACCGATACAGGCACACAGTTTTGAGTGCTGTGTTTACAGCATATAGATTTACTTGTGTACATGTCTTAGAAGGACAGTTGTGGGGAATTAGAAATGTATTCCTGTTTTCTTCTGAGAGTGTATTAAAGATGGCAGTGGGAGAGGTGAGACAGAGACCTCCTCCTAAAACCACATATAATATGAAAATATAATTTAATACAACTAATCCTGAAAGTGCAACAGTAAAGAAGGCTGCACCAGACTGCATACATCTGGAGAAAAAGAGCAGACCACACGAAACAGGGTAGCATACCAAAGCTGTGACCCAGCAGGGCCCAAGCCCTTCCCCCACCCCAGCTCACCGGCTGGAGGAAGAGAAACGGAGAGGAGAGGGAATGGAGACCTCAGATGGCTGAACACCTAGCCCTGGAGATCTGCTGTGGGAGCATGAACCTACACTGCATGGTTTTCTGGTGATTTAGTGTGGTTGGAAAGATAAATAATACCTGGAGAGCTGGAGATTCCAGCTGCTTGTGGAAAATGGGGATTCATACCTGGCTGATCTGGGTGGGCAGTATGAGACTTCCTAAAAGTGAGAAGGCTGCTAAAGGGGCAAGGATTGCAAAGAGCTTACTGCTCAAGAGAAAGGACAGGCAGACAAAATTGTCCAGGTACACTCTGCCCACCAGGTTGGGAGCCTAAAGGATCTTCAGGCGTTCCATCCCCCTGGCTGGCTACACAGCTCCAAGGCCCCCCACCATGACACACAGCCTGCTGTGTGTTTCTCTGGGTAGCCAGTACCTGGCGCAGGCTTACAAACTGGCAACCCCTGCCCTGGCATCAGGCCAGCCAGAGGGATGCCCTGCCTACAGCAGCTGCAAACACAAAGCATAGAGGCTTACACCTATGTGTTCAGCCCACTGGTTCTGGCAATGGAGGCACCCATAGCAGCCAGGAAGCAGGAAAAAGCTCTTTCCTCCCCTTCATGCACCAACACCGCTCCCCTGCGACCCCTGACATTGCTCCAGGGGCCGAGCAGCTCCACAGAGTAGAGCTTCTGGGCACTAGAGGGCGCCATATATAAATATGAGATGCCAAAGGAACCTGGCTCAAAGTAAAATTATGAAAACAACACCTGAGAAAGATTCAAATGAAATCGACGTCATGAATGTTCCTGAAATGGATTTCAAAATAAAAATTATTAACATACTCATAGAGGTACAGAAAAATATTTAAAACCTCAAGAATGAATTTAGGACAGAGATCCAATCGTTGAAGAGCACAACGGAGGGTATTAAAAGCAGATCAGATACAGTGGAGGAGATGATAAATGAAATAGAAATTAGGGAAGAGGAATACAAAGAAGCTGAGGCACAGAGAGAAAAAAGGATCTCTAGGAATAAAAAAATACTTAGAGAACTGTGACCAATTCAAATGGAACAATATTTGTATTATAGGGGTACCAGAAGAAGAGAGAGAAAAAGAGATAGAAAGTGTCTTGAGGAAATAACTGCTGAAAATGTCCCCAATCTGAGGAAGGAGATAGTTTCTCAGGCCATGGGGGTACACAGATCTCCCCACACAAGGAGGACACCAAGACATATAATAATTAAAATCACAAAGATCAAGGATAAAGACAGACTACTAGAAGCAGCCAGAGAGAGAAATAAGATCACCTACAAAGGAAAACCCATCAGACTATCATCAAACTTCTCAGCAGAAATCTTACAGGTCACAAGGGAGTGGCATGATATATTTCATGCAGTTAAACAGAAGAGCCTTGAACCAAGATTACTCTATCCAGCAAGATTATCATTTAAATTTGGAGGGATTCAACAATTTCCAGATAAGCAAAAGCTAAGAGAATTTAGTTCCCATAAACCATCTCTACCATCTATTTTAGAGGGACTGCTATAGATGGAAGTGTTCCTAAGGTTAAATAGCTGTCACCAGAGGTAATAAACAGGGATAGACAAAGAGTACAGAATATGATACCTAATATATAAAGAATGGAGGAGGAAAAAAAGGAGAAAAAAAAAAGATCCTTTAGATTGTGTTTGTAATAGAATATCAAGTGAGTGAAGTTAGACTCTTAGATAGTAAGGAAGTTAACCTTGAATCTTTGGTAACCATGCATCTAAAGCCTGCAATGGCAATAAGTATGCACCTACTGATATTCACCCTAAATGTAAATGGACTGAATGCACCAATCAAAAGACAGAACGTCACTGAATGGATAAAAAAACAAGACCCAACTATATGCTGCCTACAGGAGACTTACTTCAAACCCAAAAACATTTGAAAACCCATCAACATCACCCACCACCACAACAAAAAGGACAAAAACCACATGATCATTTCCATAGTTGCTGAAAAACATTCAACAAAATTTCACATCCATTCATGATAAAAACTCTCAACAAAATGGGTATAGAGGGTAAGTACTTCAACATTATAAAGGCCACATATGAGAAACCCACAGTCAACATTACACTTAACAGTGAGAAGCTGAAAGCTTTTCCTCTAATATCGGGAACAAGACAAGAATGCCCACTTTCCCCGCTTTTAATTCAACATAGTACTGGAGGTCCTAGCCACAGCAATCAGACAGCACAAAGAAATAAAAGGCATCTAGAAGGTAAGGAAGAAATTAAACTATCACTGTTTGCAGATGACATGATATTGTACACAAAGCCTGAAGAATCCAATCCAAAACTACTAGAACTAATATCTGAATTCAGCAAAGTTGCAGGATACAAAATTAATACACAGAAATCTGTTGATTCCTATACACTAACAATGAACCAGTAAGAAAGAGAAATCAGAAAAATAATTCCATTCACAATTGCATCAAAAAGAATAAAATACCTAGGAATAAACCTAATGAAGTGAAAGACCTACACCCTGAAAACTACAAGACACTCCTAAGAGAAATTAAAGAGGATACTAATAAATGGAAATTCATCCCATGCTCTGGGTAGGAATATTGTTAAAATGGCCATCCTGCCTAAAGCAATGTACAGAATCAATGCAATCCCTATCAAAGTACCAACAGGATTCTTCAATGAAGTGGAACAAATAGTTCTAAAATTCATGTGGAACCACAAAAGAACCCGAATAGCCAAAGCAACCCTAAGAAGGAAGAATAAAGCTGGGGGGATCTCACTTCCCAACTTGAAGCTCTACTACAAAGCCACAGTAATCAAGACAATTTGGTACTGGCACAAGAACAGAGCCAAAGACCAGTGGAACAGAATAGAGACCCCAGATATTAACCCAAATATTTATGGTCAATTAATATATGATAAAGGAGCCATGGACATACAATGGGGGAAATGACAGTCTCTTCAACAGATGGTGCTGGCAAAACTGGACAGCTACATGTAAGAGAATGAAACTGGATCACTGTCTAACCCCATACACAAAAGTAAATTTGAAATGGATCAAAGACCTGAATGTAAGTCATGAAAGCACAAAACTCTTAGAAAAAACGTAGGGAAAAATCTCTTGGACATAAACATGAGCGACTTCTTCATGAACATATCTCCCCGGGCAAGGGGAACAAAAGCAAAAATGAACAAGTGGGACTATATCAAGCTGAAAAGCTTCTGTACAGCAAAGGACACCATCAATAGAACAAAAAGGTACCCTATAGTATGTGGGGGGAGGAATCGGGAAGGGTTGGTGCAAGGGGGAGGGGAGGAAGTGTAGGAGGAAGGGTGGGGAGGGAGGGAGAAGGGGATTGAGGGGTATTATGTTTAGTACACTTGGTGTGGGGGATCACGGAGAACACCGTGTAGCACACAGAAGACAAATAGCGAATCTATGGCATCTTACTACACTGATGGACAGCACCTGCAACGGGGTATGGCGGAGACTTGATAACATGAGTGAATGTAGTAATCACATTGTTTTTCCTGTGAAACATTCATGACAGTGTATATCAAAAACACCTTAATAAAAAAAAAGATTAAAAGGTTATGCACTCAGAAAGTGCAGGCAACCTTAGAGGAGTTCCCTGTAAGGTAGAGGGTTCCCCCTTTTAAGGATTTTTCAGGAATGTTACCAGGGGCTGGAGGTGCAGACTTGTTAAGTGCTCCCTGAATATTTAAAATGAACTTAACATAGGAAATTTACTGCTCTGATTTCTCCGAGATAACTGGCGTCTCGGTCTCAGACCATACCAAACAGGACCGCCTGCCCAGCCCTCAGGGTAGGCTGAGTTAATGTCTGTTTGCTAAATAGTAATTTAAGAATCTTATTAACTTCCTGCCTTTTACTTTGTTTACGGCTGGGCCTGCATGCTATATTAGTTAACCCAGTTTGCAAATTAGTTTATTAGGGCGACTTAAGACCAATCTTACAGGTAACGTTTAAAAGTCAGCTGGGCCTGCATGATTAACACAATAAAGACTGAGGTACCTTTCTTTATCTGGGAAATATCCAAACATTTCAGGCCAAGTTACTCCTGGCTTTTTGAGATTTAACTGATTAACTCATTGACTCTGGGCCTTTTTTATTGGGCTTTCCTGGCCTTACTCTTCTTTCCACCCGGCTCATATCTATTTTCCTCCTAACACTCTCAATTCTTTTCACGCAGTTCTGGGGTGGGAGGTCAAAGATTCTTCTGCGTCTTTTGTGCCCTGATGGATTTGAAAATGAAAATTATCTGCATGTCCCAACGGCAAATCTGAGGGTGACCGACCCTTGATCCTACACTGCTAAGCCTGAGTTGCATTTTTAAAGGTTTCAGAGCAGGTGAGCACAGACGGAAGGCAGGACGGCAGAAGCAGAGAAGGAACCGGGCGCCAGTTCTAAACGCAGAGCAGCTCAGGGGGAAACGCCGCCCAGCCCCGGCCGGACGCACCCTCACCTGGGCGGCCGCCATCTCCGCCTCGGCCTCGGGCTGCTCGGGCTCCTCCCCCACCGGGCGCTGTGCGGACACGGCTCACGGCCCCGGAGAAGATGCGCGGACAGCGGCGGCAGGGCCTCCCCCGGCTCCCCGCCGGCCGCGGGCAGGACCCTGACGCGGGGCCCAGGCCGCCCTCCGGGCCCGGGTCTCAGGACCGATGCGGGGGCGGGCGGCTCGGGGACCGCGGCTTCGGTTCCGCCCCGCAGGGAGCTGAGTCTGCGCACAGGCCCGGCACTCGGCGGGGCCCCGCGAGAACTGGCGAGCTCACAGGGCGCGCGGAGGGGGAGCCCCGTCACGAGCGCCTGACACACACCTGACGCCGCCCGGAAGCAGGAGCAGGACCCGCCCTCCCCGCCGGGCAAAGCAGCCGCGCAGGCGCAGCAGGGCCGGCGACTCCCCGCGCACCCGCGGCCCCGGAAGCGGCCTGGGGCTCCGCCCCCTGAGGTTTTAGGGAGGGCGGGGCGCCGGGGAGGCTCGGTCCGTTAGGGACGGGCGCTGTCCGGGGCCAGGGGTTTGTAGCGGGGACCCCAGGGGGGCTGACACTGCCCGCCCGGGCGTTAAACCCCAGGCAACCAAGGGTCTCAGTCTCAGCGGGACTCTCCGAGTCTTTTGCTTTTAACCCTTTGATTCCCCGTTTCCACCTTTATTGATTCCTAAGCTCTTGAACCTCACTGTTCCCTGTCCGGGGTAACCCTCCTACTCGGACCTTCGCTGTCTCCTCCCGTAAGAGGAAGATTAACAGAAAAAAAGGAAACCCATTATTAAAACAAATACATCCTAAAACGTGGAAGAAACGCAGGAAAACTGACCATCTCCCTGAAATGGCCTGAGTCACCCTGTCTGTAAGTCTAGGGAAAGGAAATTACAGGGCGTAATACCTATAAAACCGAAATCAGTTTAATGGGAGAAATAACGTTTAAAGTTCGTTTATTGTACTTTGGGGCCGTCTCTCCTACTCGGGCAGAAGCAAAACCAGCACTCTCCCCTGACCTCTCATGTTCACATAAACCCTCCCTTGCCCAGATAATTATGCACTGATATGGAGATGAACTGCTCTCCACCCCTGACGAACGCCTATTCACATGTAAATGCACAAAACCCGTACTTCTCTCCACTCCTGAGGATGCAGATGGACTAAGGGCAGGCAAGATATTCCGCAAATATTACAATTTTACCCACAGGCCACCCGTCCATAAATTTCGCCTTACTATCTACTCGATCCCCCTCTTCCGCAGTGGTTCCTGGGGAAGAAAACTGGAGCACTGTGAGCAGACTAATGATATACAATAGAAAAAGCAATAAAATCATGATATTCCTCAAGCTAGAGGATTCAGCTAGGTTCAAAGTCCTATGCAGTTTAAGTCCATGCTTTCACGCGGCAGCTGCGGCCAGGGGGCACATAGAGGCCACAAGGAGTGTAGAAGAAAATACCGATCATCTTTGGGGTTCACTGTGCTGTTACTTCAGGAAAAAGAGGCCTCTTCCAGGCCTTTTCTGCTAGGTGCCAGAAGAGCCAGCAATCGCCGGTCCATGTGTCAAAATGTCCAGGGCCACATCCACTTAACAGTATCTGTTTCCTCTTTATTTCTAATTTCTGAACCCATCTTTCCAGCACATGTCACTCCACTAGCAGCTATCCACAGGCTGCAAAGAGAAACTCTAGGCCCCGCTTGGTGGTTTACTGATCTGCACAATATGCAGGAAATAGTCCAGTAGCCATGTCCACACAAGTCATGGCATACCGATACCCTTCTGATATGGGCAGAGGCCCAGTATAGTCTATCTGCCACCTGACAAGGGCTATTGGCCCCCTTACTATTGTCCCGTGTTGCTGTGGGACTCGGTGTAAGGTCCTCTTGGAGCACACAAGGCACTCCTCTGTTCTGCTGAATTCTTCAGAGGTCAATGGCAAGCCCCGCCGACAGGCTACAGCCCACATTGTCTTGCCCTGCATACAACAAACGCTGGTGTGGCCACTGGGACACATCAGAGGCAGGCTTTCCTTCTGGGCAACACACCAGGGCCAATATGTATGCTTCATTATTCCCTGAGTATGCTGAAGGCAAATGGCCAGTCACATGACATACTGCAGGGGTCTGTGCCACGCCACTCCATCTGTGGCCTTTGGGTCCAGTCTCTTACCCACGCCACAAAAGGATAAGTGGTTATTACCTTGGTCTGAGCTCTCCCAGCGATGGGCTCCATAGCCAGCAAGGTGTGGTACACAGCAGCCAGTTGCTTCTCTATCGAGGTGACCCGGACCTCTGCTCCTTTCTGTACTTGTGACCAGGATCCAGCTGGCAGCAGGAAGAGCAGCAGCAGCAGCAGCCTTTGGCTTCGGCCACAGGCTGGGCTGTTGCGTCCAGCAGCAGTGGTGTCGCCTCCACAACCACACGAGTGGAGACACATGTCCCTTCTTCCCACCATTTCTAGGTATGGCCCTCCCAAAGGCCACGCCCATTACGGCAGATTTTTCTATTCAGCGGTCCTGCTGACTGCGCCAGAGGTAAGTCCTGGGAGAGAAAATCCTGCGGCAAAATACCTCTAAAGCCAGAAAGAGTCAAAGGGAGAAATGAAGTTTAAAGCTTACAAACTGCAGTCCCAGGCTGCCTCTCTTTTCTACTCAGGCAAAAGCAAAACGAGCCCTCCCCCTGACCTCTCAGGTTCAGATAAGCTGTCCCTTGCCCAGGTAGTTACCCATCGATATGGAGATGAACCTCTCTCCACACCTCAGCAACACTTACTGATAAGAAAATGCACTAAAGCCATACTTCTCTCCACCTCTAAGGATGTAGATACACTAAGTCCAGGAAAGATATTCTGGAAATATTACAATTTTAGTCACAATCTACAATCCCATCTCTACCTGAAGACCAAAGGTGTAGAGGATTGGGGTGGACTGCGAAGGTTGTCAGGACAAGCACGTGAGTCAATAATGGCATGTCAGGCACATTCAAATCTATGCTGTTCCCACTGATAATGCTAAAGGAAAACTCCTGCTTGGTTTTCAGAGCTTATTCTAGGTATACTGGTTGTTTAAAATTAATCAGCCTAAAATAATCCTTACGTCAAAGGGGCATATATTGCATGAGAAATTTGCTCCTTTTCAGTAGACTAATGTTGAATTGTATAATTACATTCCAAAAACTTGTCTAAATCACTGTACTTTTAATACTGCCATTAATAATTTATAGTAATACTCATTCCTCAATATTCTCAGTGAAATTTAGTATGACCAGAGGCCTTTTATTTTAGCCATTCTAGAACATATTAACTGATTTCTCACTACAAAATATGAATTATCTTGAGTAGCTAAATAGCCAGACAGGAAAAATAGGGAGGGGGACTTTCATCAATTTTGACATTTGGCTGGATGACTACAGTCTACACATTCCAGCCATGTAAGCTGTTCTTGTAGGAGGATGCAGGTGGGGAGTGAGGGAATAGGTATCAGACCTGCCAAAATGTGAGGTTTCCAACATGGTGAAGAAGACCCAAATTTCAACCCAAAACACATTATTAAAAGACTTCTGTACAGAAGAAAACATAGGCAAAAATCTCTTGAATATAAACATGAGCAACATTTTTCTGAACGCATCTCCTCAGGAAAGGGAAACAAAATCATAAATGAACAAATGGGACTACACCATGCTAAAAAAGTTTCTGTACAGCAAAGGACACCATCAGCAGAACAAAAGGCATCCTACAGTATGGGAGAATATATTTGTAAACGACTTATCCGACACGGGGTTTACATTCAAAATATATAAAGAACTCACACACCTCAACACCCAAAAAGCAAATAACCCGATTAAAAAATGGACAGAGGATATGAAGAGACACTTCTCCAAAGAAGAAATTCAGATGGCCAACAGGCACATTGAAAGATTCTCCACACTGCTAATTATCAGGGAAATGTAAATTAAAACCACAGTGAGGTATCACCTCACACCAGTTAGGATGGCCAACATAGAAAAGAGTAGGAAAAACAAATGCTGGCAGTGATGCAGAGAAAGGGGAACACTGGTGGGAATGTAAACTACTACAACGATTGTGGAAAGCAATATGGAGGACCCTCAAAAAACTAAAAATAGAAATACCATTTGATCCGGGAACTCCACTTCTAGGAATTTACCAAAAGAAAACAAATTCTCAGATTCAAAAAGGCATATGCACCCCTATGTTTATCGCAGCACTATTTACAGTAGCCAAGATATGGAAGCAATATACTTATGTCCATCAGTAGATGAATGGATAAAGATGTGATACATATACACAATGGAATACTATTCAGTCATGAGAAAGAAATTAATCCTCCCATTTGCAACAACATGGATGGAGCTGGAGGATATTATGTTCAGGCAAATGAGCCATGGGAAGAAAGACAAGTACCAAATGATTTCACTCATTTGTGGAGTATTACAATGAAGTAAAACTACAGGAACAAAACAGGAGCAGACTCACAAACTCCAAGAGGGTACTAGTGGTTACCAAAGGGGAGGGGTGGGGAGGGAAGGGAGGGCGAAATGAGTTGAAGGGTATTACAATTGGTGCACATGGTGTGGGAGGGATCATGGGGAAAACAGTGTAGCACAGAGAACGCAAACAGTGACTCTGTGGCATCTTACTATACTGATTGACAGTGACTGGAATGGGCTATGGGCAGGATGTGATAATATGGGTGAGTGTAGAAACCACATTGTTTTTCATGTGAAACTTTCATAAGAGTGCATATCAATAATACCTTAATAAAGAAATAAAAATAAAAACCAAACAGAAGGAATAGAACATTAGACTCATAGATACTGAGAGGTGACTAGTGGTTACCAAGGTGCGGGGGGGAGTTCTCTAAGAGTGGAGGAGGGAAACTGGGCCTGTTGAACCAGTGTAATATGCATTTAATAAAATTTAAAATGACATGAAATCTTTTATGCAAATATGAAACTAATGTAAAAAAAGACATAGAATTAAAAACAGTTTATAAAAGAAAATTAATCTAAACTCTTAGAACAAACATTTTATCACTTACATGGAAAAATTTGCAATATAGACACATGGAGAAATATGAATTAGTTGATTAAAGACCTAAAAAGATGCAGGGAGTACAATATACTCAAATTGTTGTGATATTTGAAAAACAAAATTGTAGAATATTTGACACAGAGTCATGCTAACTTTTAAATTAGTACTTCAAATCATATACTCATAAAAGATGAGGAAACACAAATAAATGGTGAGAAGACCCTGCTGAGAACACACCATGTGGAAAATCACTCACCATCCTGTTGTGTACAGATTCCATTCCACATTGGTTAGTTTCAAAGCAAATG